GGTCATGTTGAGTTCTGTTTTGATTTTGTCCAGACATTTGTTAATCCTTTTCTGAGACTTAATAAGTCTTTTGTTCCTGAACCTGTACGCCGGGGTTCCTGACGCAACAAACTATATACAATACGAACAGGACATCAAAGATCCAAGAAACATATTCGAGGAACAAACTTACTGCCTTGAATCTTCCTTGCTATTTTAGTTATGCGTTTTCATGACATTTGGCAAATGTTTTTTTGATGATTTTCATGTTGCATTTTAGAACCTCAATGAAGCGGTATTTTAAGATCGTTTCCATGGATGGATGAGCGCGACGGAGAGGTTCAATGTGAAAATGGTGCAACGAGAAGGGCACCTGAAAATTTGATAGAGTTTGTGAGTTTTATGATTTTAATACGAGAAAGGTACTTTGTGCTGGGGGACAACTTGGCGCCCTAAATCTTTGGGAAGTAAGAAACCCCAGGCCCTAGTAGTCTTTGTGGATTTTAGCGGTCACAAAAATGCGAGTTAACCAGCATCACCGGCATCCAGTTTCCATATACCCTCTCCGCAAAGGCAGACACCAATTGAAAAAACAGGAATATGCCTCCTATCTCCCCGTCCCATCTGGCGCCTTGCTTGCTACCTCTTCGTTAAACATATACAGGGTTGGACGTGATGTCCAACCGTAGTCTTGACACTTACCATCATTTGCCTAGGACAGGCCACTCAACACATCCACAGAGGGCATAGGTTTTGGTAAGTGGATACTTTGGTGATTATATATACACATTGAGGAAGGATGAGGATGGTACATATTGTTTATCATCCCCGTTGCTACCGAAAGTGGGGTCAGCACACCTCGTTTCATATTGAAATTGGTCAACTCAAATGATTTTCAAAGGTTTGTACAAGTCTTTTAGTCTAGAAAATGTCAAAAAAAGTCCATTCTCACCAAGGTAATCTGTAATGGGTTTGGAAGTCCTGGTTTCAAGAAAGTGCCCGTGACGAGTATCGAGTCATGATACACTGATGAGAAATTAGAATCGAATAGAACGGACCAACTTCCCGTGACGAAATTACATCATTTGCGCTTGAAGCCGTAGCGATCCATTTGCCATCAAGGAATAAGGGTGAGCATCAGCACCCATTTGGTTGTAAAGGGTTTTTACCATAAGAATGCTTTAGGATGTCACACAAAAACAGATAATATCTTTGCAGTATACAAACCTTCAAAGTATACATGTCTCCTAAAACAATGTCACGCTCATGAGGGTTTACCCTCTTGTAAAGTTGCTTTCAAAACGACGTTCCTATTGACATGTGTTTACTACACCTCAGTTCTTTCAATCTTCTTCATTCACAGCACTCGTCCACCGTGTTGTTTTGTAATCTTTTTGCTTCAAGCACATTATGACAGAAAAAGTATGTAATCATCTTGGCAAGAGACCCCAAACAGTGTGTGTGAGGTCTGTAAGCAGAAAGTCTAGAGATCGAGACGCATTGGGGTCCAGAGACGTGATGATGAAGTGAAGGTGGGTGTGAGTGAGTGTGGGTGAGAGGGAGCGTGAGTGTGACGTGAGTGAGAGTGAGTGTGAGTGTGAGTGTGGTGAGAGTGAAGGTGGTGTTAGTGAGTGTGGGCGAGAGCGAGAGTGAGTGCGAGTGAGAGTGGGAGAGTGAGTGTGAGTGTGTGCGAGTGTGAGTGAGAGTGGGTGAGTGTGGGTGAGAGTAAGTGCGCGTGAGAGTGAGAGTGAGTGAGTGTGGGTGAGAGTAAGTGCGCGTGAGAGTGAGAGTGTGAGGGAGTGTGAGTGTGAGTGAAAGTGGGAGAGTGAGAGTGTGAGGGAGTGTGAGTGTGAGTGAGAGTGGGAGACTGAGTGAGTGCGAGTGTGAATGAGAGTGAGTGAGAGTGAGTGTGAGTGAGAGTGCGAAGCGTGGGTGAGTGAGTGAGAGTGAGTGTGAGTGTGAGTGTGAGGGAGTGTGGATGAGAATGAGTGTGAGTGAGAGTGAGTGCGAGTGTGAGTGAGAGTGGGAGTGTGAGGGGGTGTGAGTGTGAGTGAAAGGAAGTGGGAGAGTGAGAGTGGGAGAGTGAGCATCTGACAGCACAAAGTTCTGCGCCAGCCACGAAATCTGCACTTCGAGGTTCACCAAGCGCTGTGCCTGCCACGAAATCTGCACTTCAAGGTTCACCATGCGCTGTGCCTGCCACGAAATCTGCACCCCGAGGTTCACCAAGTGCTGCACCAGCCACGAAATCTGCAATTCGAAATCTGCAGCTCGAGGTCGTGCTACGAAATCTCCGCATCTGGGTTCACCAAGTGCTGTACCTGCCACGAAATGTGCACTTTCGAGGTTCACCAAGTGCTGCGCCTGCCACGAAATCTGCACGTCGAGGTTCACCAAGCGCTGCACCTGTCACGAAATCTGCTCATCATGAAGTGGTGCGCCTGCCACGAACTCTGCACTTCGAGGCTCACCAAGTGCTGCGCCTGCCACGAAATTGCGAGGTTCACCAAGTGTTGCACCTGCCACGAAATCTGCACTTCGAGGTTCACGAAGTGCTGCGCCTGCCACGAAATCTGCACGTCGAGCGTCGCAGAGTGCTGTGCCTGCAACGAAATCTGCGCATCGAGGGTCACAAAATGCTGTGCCTGCAACGAAATCTGCAAACGACCCATATATCCCAAAGTCACGATGCACTGCACCTGTCACGAAATCTGAGCTCCTCGACGGTCACCACCATGTCCAAAGTGCTGCGCCTGCCACGAAAAGTGCATTTCGATTTAAAGCAGCTCCGATCCCTTGCACCTGTCACGAAAAGTCGACTTTGGAGCACCAAAGCACGAGGTTTCCCTTGCGCCTGCCGCGAAAAGTCACCACCATGCACACGGCACCACAACGAGAGCGTAGTCGCTAGAAGCACCCACTGCGGCCACCCAGACTTTGCGAGCCTGCACAGTCGAAGTGCACATGGACGATGTTGCGAGTCATGAATGTGCTGTAAATAGCATCGAATCAGCCGCACACGCCTGCGCGGAAGCGATCTAACCAGACCTGCTTTTCTCCTACCATAAGAACCCCTCAGTGTGCCCACACTGTTTGGGGAAAAAATGAATTTGAAGTAGTTCGATGAACAACCATCAATGGTTCTTACAACAAATTGCCCGGAGACAAACGAAAAGAAGGACCAATTGAGCACCCTGCACAGCAAACTCTCTGAAGCATAACCATAAACACATACTGTACTTTGTTCATGTGCTTATTTCTGTTGCACAACTTTTGTATGTTGTTGTGGTTTGAAGAAGGATTAGTGCTGTAAAAGGTCAAAGGCCTTGTACACTTTCCACGTGTTTTGAAAAACAAATACTTGCAGTCTTGCACTCCGTGCGAGAGCCCGAACACAAATCTACTTGTTTTGACCTCTCATCCGCATTCCGTACTAGAAATATTAAAATTTACAATTATTTACCATCCTCATCCTAACATCTTTGGTAGCATCGTAATATGAATCAGAACATGTCAATTGAGTTTACAATTACCAAAAACTTTCAACAATCGCGGTCGATAAAGTCTAAGGTTCAAACTTGCGTGTTTCGCTGAACTTAGTTCTCGGCTCTTCACAAACGCGTCGCAGTTTGGATAGCAATCCTGTCACATCATGTCAAGGCTGTTTCAAGAACATGAAAAAGCGACCAAAATTCAACGAAAAGTCTCCTGATAGAGGCAGCAAACTTTTCGCATCAACTTCAGATGAGAAATTCATTCAGCGATGATAGTGCCAAAGTTGGACTCGCCAGAAAATGTTTGAACATGTCCTGCCTCCCCTCCAAAAAATGACTCGCCTCCATCAAGATTGGAAATCCAAAATGCAGACCTTTTAAAAAGAACCAAAATGGCTACTATAGTGGCGTGGCTTTCATGTTTTGTTTTTGAAATGTTGTTCTTGATGGTTTTCATGCTTGATTGTTTTTGTTCTGTTGTTTAAGCCTGGACTGGACAAAAACAAAGAAAATCGATAAGAAACGAGCATCATGCGTTCATCTATGCCTGTGTTTTTCTGTCTTTGTTTAATCATTGTTTCATGATTCGATACTCATACTCTTCACGGACACGTTCTTGAAACCATGACCCTTTTTAGATAACTTTGCGAGAAATGTGTTTTTCAACTTTTTTAGATTAAATGATTTGAGCAGACCTTTGGTGTGTGTATGACCAATTTGCAGATAAAATGAGAGGGTGAACTTCTATAGTCTGAACTTCTATAGTCGGTAGCAACGGGGATGATTATGCTAACTTTAATTGGTTTTGACATATATAAGACACTATATAAGACATATGTTTACAGGTTTTTTGGAAAATGGTCTCGAGAGCGGTACCCAAACCGATTCCAAACGATACCTGAAGCGATACCTCAGAAGCCTGATCCTAGCCACCTCCCCATGTTAGAGCCGCAGCTGACTAACCCAATTAGCGTTTGCAAAGAGTCTTCGCAACTTGTTGAAACCATGGCTTGCTTGCAAGTGGGAGTTGGCTAAAGGAACCACAAAGAATCGTCAGGTTTGAGAGAGAGTCGTGTTGTTCCATTTTTTGATCGGTACTGTGTGGAGCGGTAGGGTACATTGAAGAGCGATACCATGGCAGCAGAATGATTACCGCGTGTAGCGTATTTTGATCGCAGCACATGCACACCTGGACCCACTAATTACATCTAATTAATTCTAATTACGTGTGTGCAAAAAGTTGGACCCACTGACTTCATCGCGTGAAAACACATGGTCAAGGTCGTTCAATTTGGTCCTGCCTTATCAAGCACATCCAAGTTTACAAAGAGCACATCCGCAGACCTGGTTGAAATCAATATTGAGATTTATTGAGCCTTTCTCCAGTTGCATCGCCTGAAACTACCGTAACTACCTTTAACTTGTGGAGCAGGAGCATGGTTTGATGCGCGCAACAGAACTTGTAGGGTGGGGTAGCAAGATGTAGCAAGGGTGAGGTTTGCATGATTGATGTATTCATGTCCGAAGCTGTTACAGAAACTCGAGCAGCCTTGTTCCATTACTATTTCTTCGTCCCCAATGAAGCAACCAGGTTGGCCGGAGAGTGGAGCATTTCTTTGCTTCCTCACCTTGATCAACCATGTTCCAGGCACGGAAGCCTCAAAACATCGCCACAACAAGATGAAAACTCAAAAGAAAGAACCGAGACAAGAGTAAGAGAGGCGTTCGAAGTATGGACTGTTATTTTTGGATGTTTTGGTCGTATCGATTGGCTAGACTTTGCATTCTCTTGCAAGTGTGTGGGTGTGTGTGTGTGTGTCAACCCCTGTTTCCAAGGGCACTCATCTAGCCACTTACGCTCGCTGACCTGAAGCGCTGTACAGCAACTCAGCAGGGGGGCAGTGAATCTCATTCCATCCACCAATGAAGACGGTGGTTTGAGATTGTGAAGCGAGAAGGGACGCCTTCTTGTGTACCTGCAATTTTTAATATACATTAAAGAGCTAATGCAGCTAATGCATCTTGTTGAAACATTCAAGTGAGCGGCCTTTTCACTTCATACGGTTGAGTCAAGTCAAGTGCTACGTATTCACCTAAAGTGCTAATGCTCACCGCGAATAGCCTGAAGACAAGCTCCACGGAGCAACCTTCTCAAGTGTGTTTCCGCAGCTTCTTCCCACAATGGTAAGCTGTGTGATCCCTTGGGGGCGCCGTTATTGCAAGAACCTGTCCACTCTTCATCGTAGGAGTAATCTTTCTGAAGCTATACTTGAATTTTTCTGCTCGAAATCAGCTAGCTTGGAATGTCTCACCCTGTACGCGTGAATTATACTGCAGAGTTCACTGACTTTTCTTACTGAAATATACTGCAGAGTCTCAACTGTATCAGTTTCACCTGGGAACCATCCCTTTCATTTTAACTTCTCTTCAAATTTTTAATTGGTTAATTTTTAATCAGACTTTGGTTATCAACAGCGAGTCGCTCACTCCTCCACATTACCATATTTTATAGTATTTATATTACAAGTTCGAGGACTACCTAGATTTACATATTTACATACACCGATTTGATCAGATTTGCAGAGCCGCCATGACGTATCCTTGGCCGTATTCACTACCACCTAACATTCCCACAACATCCACCGCAACCTTATCCAACACTGCCACCAGTTCCACCACATCACCCAGCGCCACATTTCTACCCACACCCTACAACATTCCCACCGCAAACACAATTTCCACCTCAATCTCACTACATGCAGCCCACACCACACCATCAGCCACAAATGCCACATTACCCAGTACAACCTTCACCTACCGCGCCGCAGCACACCACTTTGGATCCCGTTCAGCACATGCCACCACAACAATTTCCACCACAACACACTCCTCAGACAACAGCGCAACCAACTCCGCTATCCACCTCGGATCCACAACTTCCCAACCTTGCCACCATTCCCACACACACAACCTCCCCGACAGTACCAGACAGCACACAAAACACAGCAACAGCTCCGGCACCAGTTCAACCAGCATCTTCAATACAGCAAACACCTCAAGCCACCACTACCGAACAAACCATTCCACCGGCCACTGCAACACCCATTACACAACCCTTCAATCCTACGCCACCAGCAACAGTCGCACGCGCAGCCCGACCGACGCCCTCTGTCGCACCCACACTCAGCACCACACGAGGCATATGGCGTGACCCACAACGCTCACCCCCACGCACACAAGAGCATCACCGCTACTCAGCATTCCCTGCAGTCCCAACCAGCACGGCATCCCAAGCCACATCCAGATCCCGAACACGCACTCGCTCTCCACTACCACGCAGGAGACGCTCTACCACACAATCCATTTCCAGCTCACAACAAAATCCAACACCATCACTGAGTCATCAACCTCAGCAACCACCTCCTTCAGCTCAAGACATGCCACAGCCATCCACAGCCAGCCACCACCAAACACTCACAAAAAGCCGCGGAACCAGCCAAGCGGTCTCATCACATCACACTCAAACCCAACCCACTCTTCAGCTCCAAGCGAACCACCGCACCACCTACAGCACCCACACCACCAACAACAGATACCACTGAAGTTCCAGTACAACGCCGACCTCACAATTTACCAATACAAAAATTCCAACCACCCACAGATCCAGCACAATTGGAAGTCTTCCAATGGATCAACCAGCACGCACGTTCACTTAACATCTACAATGAACCCATGATCTCCTACGTGGCCAAAGTGCTTACTGCAGCTCATCTCAACAGCACCCACTTTACTGACATGCAACTTCTCACTCACACAAAATGGAACGACGACACCAACCGCAATGAACACCACACCTTCCTCATGCTCACCATCCCAACATTAGCAAGCAGAGGAGACGCACCAACACTTCCACCCATGAGAAGGGAAGCATTGAATATTCCACCGATCAAACACATCTTCGCCGCTCATGTGAGCGAAAAGGGAAACATAATCTCCATTCTTGAGGCCGGCAAGATTGTTCGCTCAGTTTTGCACGACGAGCACAATGTAGGCTATTTTAGCCACGCTTTTGAGCTCAGCAATTACGAGGAGCACGATGCCACCGAGGCCGCTAGAGTTCTCTTCAACGCCTCCAACATGTCCAAAATCGCAGCGGACTTATTCTCACCATCAAGGCTTATGGCCATGGACAGAAGGTGACGCATGGAGGCGAGTCGGCTGCAAACGACTTATTACTTCGAGCTAAAGGCATCGTGAAGTATACCCCCGGCAAGTGTTGGGTGGTCCACCCTAAGCATTCCCGCATCGAGGGGATTGCGTGGAAGAGTGACTCCAAGCCTCCGCTTAGTTTCATTTGATCCGTTGAGTCACCAATTGGCTACTTCACCAAAGCGTGATAGAATACTCCTGCTTTGTATGGTCCATTTTCACCGCTACATTGTGGTAGACGCCCGACCACAAAATATTCGCACTCTGACTTTCGTTTTTGAGTTCTTCACTTCGATCCAGTTTTCTGCTTCAATACAGGAAGTCACACTCAAAAAGACCCCAAGTTGTGGTTTTATGACTCACCTAACAGAAATTGACCATCCTCTTTTCATGACAGTGCCGCCTATATTCACTGATGACATCTTTATGCGGTTTTGCCATACCAGACCATGCTGAAGCATCATTCTGCATGCCGCTGCGCACTTTCCTCATGTCATACAAATTCTGACCTTCTTCGCAGCCATTTTCTCTATATTCAAATTATTGTTCGCGATCCCTTTAGCTTTGTGACCTGGATAGTACATCTTGCTTTTTGAGCCCTACTACAAACACTCGGACTATGACATCGCCCATCGACATCGCTTTAGCTCATCGGCTACTACTGGCTCACCTACAAGCAGCCACCTCCATTGCTACCACATTTCAGAACTTGCCACTCTTTACACCACATCCACTACCATCGGACATCCAACCCACTCCCGCCCCCATTTCACATCGACGACCACACCGACGACCTCCACCACCACCACCACCACCCCCACACTCAGTCTCACGTCGCAGCCGCAGTCCACCACGAACTACTGGCCTACCACACATGCAACGCAAGCCAGAACTTTCACCCTCATACACACCGACCTCCACACATCAACACTCACCCCCACCCTGTCCAGCAAAACCACTCACGTCACCAACACCGCCGCATCGAACGGACACCTGGCAACTTTCTCCACATGCACCACAACCAACTTACTCGCTGCACAGCTCTTCCAGCACACCACCACCACCACCACCTCCACCACTACGACTACCACTACACCCATTGCCAGGCCAGCTCCAACTCCATCCCCTCCATACCCAGACAATGGAGGCTGGGAACCCAGTGATGATGAGAAACTAGCATCGCTCAAGCTCAACAAACGAGCCCGCGCCAGTTGGAAGCAGATTGCCAAAACTCTCAACAAAACTCCATTTGACTGTAAGTGCCGCTGGCAAACTTTGCAGATACTTTATACACCCCAACCACCAGAGGGCACTCACACCAAATCTCCAGCTGCTGCTGTAGTCGACCAACCAACCACCTGAGATGCCTGTACGATGACATCGGACAACGTAGCACCCCCTCAGACACATGAAGCAGCAGCACCACACCACGATCTATGAGAGAATGACCGATGAACTATGTAGCGATCTTCCTCTCGTGCAACCCCTCGTTATTTTTTCCTTGGACTATTTCTTGGACTATGTCCTGAACGACCACTTCAACTTTTCTCATCACCTCTTCATTGCAGTTCACAATTATTGATACATATTTTGGTTGCGAGCAACAGACTCCAACAAACGAGCACCACCGCACATCTCTTCCACAGTTGCAGCAAAAAGAACCGATGCAGCCATTCACATTTCGACATTTTTGACATCTTGACATCTTCACACAACACTCAGAATTCGAATTAGAAGCCCTTTATTTTAACATCGTTTTGAGCCTGTACAGCTTCGCCGAATTCATTCATGCATGTACATGAGATGAAATTCCTTGGACAATTGCGGTCATGGATGCTTATCTAATCAACGCTGCTTTCAATTTCTGTTGACCTTGGACGTTCAAAAACCCAATCTTTTCATGTTCTGCAGCTGCGCATATCAATCACCGCTCAGCCTTTCCCGTGTACAGTCTTTATTGGCCTATGGAGATGGACAAGACCACCGCACCAGACGCTCAACTTATTCCACAACTACAGGATACCAATATCCAGATCAATCGACTGATGCTCCAACAGCTCAATCGACTCAACGACACCATCAAACAATTACAACTCACAGATGCAGCCAATTTCCGACAAGATCCTAGCCTTCAGAGCAGAACACAGCAGCTACAAGCTTTGCTACCCATCATGAAGACAGCTCTTGAACATCAACAAACCTTCTATCACCAATGCCTCAAATTACATCACGCACGCAACACCTTACAACACCAAGTTCTACGACTCGCTACCAACCTGGACAAATCCAAGCCACAACCCTCCACTGCCAAGTTTGACCGTTCCAACACGCCACCATCCCCCACGGTCCAATCAGTGGAGA